TTGATGAAAGACCATGTATGAGATGTCACCAAGTTCATCAAGGTGACTGTAATTATGAACAGAGGAAGTGTTTCAGATGTCGGGAGTCAAGTCACCTGTCTAGAAATTGCCAGAATTCTCAAAGATGTTTTCATTGTAATTCCTCTGTGTAACACACCCTTTAACGAACCATAATTAATGGATAGATCTTGAGCAAATTTTTTATTTCAATCCTCAACAAAATACGGGATACATGTATATATTTACCATCAAAAGATAAGTTTAAGATCAACATTTACATCTAGAGGATCGAAAATATATACTACCGCAAGCTAAAATACGACGGTCTTCGATTCCAATACAAATCCTCAGCGATCTACCGTTTTTCCTTTACTTTTAACTTCTTTTCCTGAAAGGTTAACCACTAAAAGGATAAGCTAACAAAGCTTAGTGAGTTTAAATGGATATCATGCACATCATGACTCATGTAAGTGCATTTATAAGAAAATCTAGAAATATATACGTCAATAATCATCAAAAGCATGAGATAACGAGAAGTAGAACTTCAAGGAAACAGCAAAGACAATCAGATGAATTTATAACACAAACACGCCAATCTCTACTCATCTTCCTACAATAACCATCCTCCATCCCCGGAACCGATGAGTAGGGACAGCCCCTCCGGTTAGTACATTAATCAACAATTTAAGTTCAAAACATCTGACAAATATTAGGTTTGACTGACCAATCCGTATCCGTCCACTCACGGATGGTGTACAAACCCTCTACTCATCTTCCTGCAATAACCATCCTCCATCCCCGGAACCGATGAGTAGGGACAGCCCCTCCGGTTGTCTCACCAGGATCCAAAGGTGTCCGACAACCGGCGCCCAACACATGAATAATATTAGGACCAAAATTGATCCTAATTATTATAAAAATTATCAAGCAATCAGGCCAAGACTGGAAGATCTGAAGATATTGTTGTGCTAAAATGATTAAGCCTGGAAAACGACCAGAGCTTCTGGACTCTAAGTCCTTCAGGGACAGAGGCCCTCTGGTTGGTCTATCCTTTCCATCGGTCCTCTGGTTTCAAACTTTCCATCGGTCCTCTGGTCTCAAACAACACTTAGAAAATATTTACCCGTCCATTGATCCTCTGGTCCTTCTACTTGCCTCTGCCAGAGCCTCTGGTTGTATAGACCAGAGCCTCTGGTCCAACATTTATACTTAGAAATTACTAAGCCGTCCATCGATCCTCTGGTCCTTCTACTTGCCTCTACCAGAGCCTCTGGTTGTATAGACCAGAGTCTCTGGTCCAACATTTATACTTAGAAAATACTAAGCCGTCCATCGATCCTCTGGTCCTTCTAAATACTAAGCCGTCCATCGATCCTCTGGTCCTTCTACTTGCCTCTACCAGAGCCTCTGGTTGTATAGACCAGTGCCTCTGGTCCAACATTTATACTTAGAAAATAGTAAGCCGTCCATCGGCCCTCTGGTCCTTCTACTATTAGATCTGAGTTCAACAAACAATGCATCAAACAACGCAATTACAAGAAGTGACCATATGATTACAATGTGAGTAACACATACACCTATATAGAGCACATAATAGGCACATATCCAAGTAAACTCACAATAGAATTCGGTTGAATTAAACCGAATGTCAAACCGAGTGGTCGAATCCCAATTCCAAATCAAAGTTGGAGAACCACCTCCAAGACTTCCACCCAAGCTCAAACAATCCCTGGAAGATATATTCAAAGTCTCATTAGTGAAGCTCAACAAAAACCCACTCAAACCTTATTTCGATTAAAGTACTCTACTTTGGATTTCAATATAAATACTCAACATGCAGGGCTGTTTTACCCTTTTAAAACTCAAAATCACCAATTCAGATCTAAAGACAAGTTGTAGCCCTTTCTCTTACCTTTCTAGGACCTATTTATTCCTAGTTTCGAATTTTCTATGATTTCCAAAAAAAAAAAAAAACAGGGCTGTTATCATCTTTATCAAATGCTCAAAACACCCAATTTCCTCCAAAACATCACCAATACTAGCCCAATAAATTCCAAATTCATAGTTTCACTTATTTTTACCAAATTTCACAATAAATCAGAGGTAAACCATGATTATAACACCAGTTTTCTACTAATTTCATTGTATCTCAAATTGACTCCTAAAAGTCAACACTTAATCCTAACATAATATCATAATTTCATCAGTAGATCATCATATGCAAGGACTCAAACTTTATGCATGTCATCAAAATAAAGATAAATAGGAGTTTTACCTTTGATTCTCTATAAATCCTTCAATATTGACTAAACACTTGATTTATGGGTAGATTAGCTCCCAAGTGTGTGTAATCGCACCTTAGAACACCAAGACTGATTTTGAGAGAGAACGGGTTGAAAATGGGGCTGATTTGATGATTTGCGAATTAAAGACCGAGTTGGGTCAGGTTGACCCGATTGGGTACCCTTTTGACCCCTAAACACTAAAAATTAAAACTTGCATAACTTTTTACTCGTAACTCCGTTTTCGATGAGGTTTTCGCCTACGCGTCCGTAACGAGATAACCTACAAGCTCCAATAAAAGATTCCATTTCCAGAACCTAGTACTTAAAACCAAACCCGAAAAGTCGATGTTTTCGACACATAATTAAGCGTATTAGAAAGATGGATGTTACACTCTGACCATATCAGACCAGATTGTCCTTAGTTAAAGGCTCTAAGGCTGACTTTGGGTGGAAATACTCTGAGTACGAATGGGGGAGTCACTATCTGAAGAGGGGAATCAGAAAGGGCGAGGACCGATCTTTTTAGATGACCGAGGGAAAAGCAGAGGAAAACCCCTGATGTGGTAACATGTACCTTTCTTATCAACTCTGTATATGCCAAGGTGTTATCTGATTGATTGAATTCCGAGATGAAATTTTTTTGAGGGGTGGATAATGTGATAACCGAGTTTTTTGGTTACAAAGTTGAGGGTTAATTTCAATTAATAGTGATAAGTTTAAAGTTTAATTTGTTTATGTGCTTAAATGTTTATAAATCCCCATCACCTCTTATTGTTTATATGGTTATTTTATATGAGATATTTTTATTATCTCAAGGGAGGGTGTGAGAAGAAAATATTTTAAAATATCAATCCCACCACCGCCTCTTAATATTTAAATAAGTAATAAGATGTTTATCTTATCTCACCGATTTTGGAGAAAAATAAAGAAAAACTTAGGTTTTCTAAAATTTGAGAGAAACCGGAACCAAAAAGGGGGGAGGAATAGAAGTTGATTCTGTGATTATAATCTGAATAAGATTTTGGGAAATTTATGAAGAAATATATGATTGCCTACGTATGGATTTTGGGATAATATGTTGTTACTTGTACCTGCATGATGTTTATGAGTACAAGTTTTGTAAGTGAAAAAATTTTGTTAGCTACTTTTATAATGTAGCTTTTGTATATATATTTGGGACCAAATGTGTATTTGTATTTCTTGATATATGAAATACATGATTATATGCAAATGTGGATTATGGGGTGTTACAAAAATTTAAGAAAGACGATTTTTATCCACGTTTGTTACCCTTCTAATTAACATTTAACATAAGGGTTTTCATCAAACTAATCATTTACGGTAAGAAAATTCAAAAAGCCAATTACTTTTTAAAGAACTTTAAAATAAATAGCGATAGATTCCACTAAAATGAATTCACTATGTGGAGAATTCCGGCAACTTGACACTTCGGATCAATATATGATTTCGCCAATCAACCATTTGTTCACACGTAGATTTCACCAAATTCTCGCCAAATTCGTTAAGATTTTAAAATTTCAAGATACGTAATTGATTTGATTTTTCTGCTAATTTGACCCGTCAAGTAACAAAAAGTGGAATCCGTCAATTTGACATAAGCTATTTCTTTAAAACTCTTAAAAAAATGGATGTTTTCTCAATTTCCGTGTAATAAATGATTAGTTTGACGAAAAAATTGTTAATTTAATGTAATTATATTTAAGCTTTTATAACTGAATCATATAATTATTTGTTTGCATTCATGTTTATACAAGATTGTAATGTTTATGCATGCACGATCAACCCGATCAACCCAACCCAACCCAACCCAACGAGAAATAACTCAATCTGAAGCAACCCAATGTCTAATCGAGTTGTAAAATTTTCAAACCATAAGTATTGGGTTGATATTGGGTTACTATTATTTGAACTCAACCCAACCCGATGAACCCGATATCCTTTTATTTCTTGGATTTAATATGATTGTTGAATTTCTATTAATATATGCATTAGACAATAACACTATCACGTACGCTCTTCATATACACATTTCTTTTCAATTTATTCACGTCTCTATATAACTCATTCGTATATATGTTTAGTAATTTTAAACATATATACATAAATTGAGAAAATTAACTGAATGTGATATGCGTAAGAAGTATAGATAAGTTGCATTAAATGGTTGATGATGAAAAATAAATTATGAGTAGAGAAATAACATATTCAAGATTAGAAGAATATTTTAATGTACCAAAGTATCAACCCGACTAACACGACTAACCCGACCAACCCACACGGTTTGGGTTGGGTTGGGTTGCACTTTCGGTTGGGTTGGGTTGGGTTAAGATTTTTCAAACCGTAAGCATTAAGTTTGGTTGATCAAATGTCTTCAACCCGATCAACCCAACCCATAAGCATCCCTACATGTGATCATCAATGGAAGCGAAAGATAATGTAGAAAACAAATAAATATTTAAGGTCCAAATATGTGATGATTAAAAGTTTGGGGACCATAAACGGACACAAATAGAAACTTTAGGGGTAAATGTTGTATATATTCTCTAAAACTTCCTTACCATCCACAAGCTTCCACGTGGCACATCATCATCCACATGGAGAGAAATAGTTCAATGCATGTCACAGTTTGTATCAAGGCGCCTCTTCTCCCCCTCTCTCTCTCTCTTTATCTCTCTCCCTCTCTCTCTCCCATTTGTGGAATTCCAGTAGAGTCTCCTTTCCATCTCGATTCGACTTTTTCCTTGACTAAATTCGAGAAAAGGATCGGTGCTGAAATACAATTTTTGAGAGAGAATTGAATCGAGTTTCATGGCTTTATGGAGTGCAAGGTAAGAGGATCATCTCCATTTCGTTATTCAAATGCATATATATGTATTCATTCGAAATTCGAATTTGAATTGGTTACCTTATGTTTCTCGATCCATGTTCGATGTGTTGAATTTTCCTGGAAAAACTGAGGGAGTTTTGGGCAATTTTTGGAATTAGTTTGGATATTTGTCTAACAAATAAGGATTTTGAGGATGAGTCGAATCGATTTCTGGGGAATTTAGTTATTTGAATGTTGAAATTTGAATTCAAATGTGAACCGTTTCTTTTATCCTCATTTTGTGTGTTAGATTTTCATGGAAAACTGGAGAAATTGTGAGTGATGTTATTGTCATTTAGGTTTATTTGTTATTTGATCACCTCAGATTTTCCTTCAGGATTAGAAGATCAAGGTCAATAATATAAAATACTAGATCTTGTTTTAAGTTTTGGGTGTAGCTATGGGTTTTGTTGTAGGAAAATTGACTCGTAGTCCTTCCTTTTTCGGGTTTACCCAAATGTCACTATGTCAACAATATCCACGTCTGCAATAATGTGGACTAGACTAAAAGAGACAGAAAAAAGTATCATATTCAACCCAGATGCGCAATTGTGACGGCCAAGTATGTAATTACGACGATGTCACTTGCTAACCCGATGAAATTTGAATCTCCTTTTGTATTTTAGTCAGGTCCGTAATATTGCCGACGGGAATTGCTATTTGCACCTCTTTTTTTTTTTTGTCAAAAGCAAGTCAAATCATACATTAAAAATGTAAAAATTGAGTTTTGTTGTTGATATACACAAAGATGAAACCAATATGTAAGCATGCATTTAACATCGTAGAGGAGTGCAATTAACCCTTTACTTTATTTTGAGAATTTGAACATACATTTAATTGTGATATTTTCTTTTTGTGGATGGCTTTAATTTGAGAATATTTTCTTTTTCCAGAAAGATTATAGTCTAAAACATATCTATCAATCACTGTCGTGGTTACATCATCAATTGATGATGATATTTTAGAGAGAAATTGATTGAAATGAACATTTCTTATCTTTTAATTATTTCTCTCTCAAATGTTTATCCAAATATCACTACTTTCGTAATATTCAGGTCCCTAATATTAATTAAAAGGCAAAAAAATGAATCAAATTCAACACAAATTTGCAACTGTGACGCGGGGTCCGTAATTGCGACGGTAAACTTTGATTTTTTTTTTTTTGTCTTTTAGCTATATTGTGGACCTGAATATTGATAAACCCGAATGAGAAATGATTAAAAAACCAATTTAAGTGTAAAAAATGGTCATTTGAGTCGATTTATTTATTGATTCTGGTAGCATTTTTACTATTTGATAAATTGTCTTTTTCTTTAAGCTCAATATCTTCTTATTTTATGTACATATTCATAATTTCATCAAGTTATCACATATCTTTTGTTCTTTTAAATATTTGTTGTTGATTTTAAACTTGCACCCATTACTTGAAAGTCGATAATGGTTTGTAAATTACTCGAAAGTCGAAAATAATCAAATTTGAACTAAACGGATCATTAGATTTGCATTGTACTAGCTGTAACACATGTTTTCATTTATAATCAAATGGAAGGAATATAGAATACTTTGAGTTCATGTTAGTTTTAATCGTTTTTAAGAGGAAAAAGAACATATCAACACTCAAAGTGGTATGAACGTGAAGTTGGTACTAGATTTTCGTATCATTCCCGCTGTTAACATACGTAACGTTTTAAACGGTCATAGTTTTAGGCACATCCGAGGACATGATCTTAAATAAGAGTTCTTGGGATGCAATATTAGGATAGCTGAATAGAGAAGGGGATTTGGAAAGGTAAAGCATGGGTGTAGGGAAAGTAGGTTTAGTGGGTTGGCAGTTAGATCTCTTGAGTCCTGGGTTAGAGTAGGATGTGTAGTTCTTCCTACGTGGTTATGTTTTCTTGTACATGTTGCTGGTTGTGTATTTTGTCTTTCGAGTCAAGCTCGAGTATCACTATATTTGACTCGAACTCGAAACCCAATTTCCAAGCTTGAACTCGACTCAAAAACTCGTGAGTAATAAAAATCAAAGCTCGACTCGAACTCGATAATTATTTCTCAAGCTCGAACTCAAGCTCGAAACAAGCACGAACTGCAACTCAAATCAAGCTTGAACTCGAATAAAAAACAATTGATTAGTTTTTATAATTAAAAATGTATAATTTTGTTTAAATTTCTGAAAATATAAGACATTTTTGTTATTTATATTTTACAAATTTTATCATAAAAACTTATTATATTTTAAAAAACTAATTGTATATAAAATAATCGAGTATCTCACGAGCATTTCGAGTCGGGTATTGGGTAGCTTGACTCGACTCAATCTAAAACAATGTATTTATAATTGCAAAACTAAATAACCAAAATCACTCTTTGATTAATGTGAGAAAATTACTCAAAACTCACGGTGTTTACAATGTTTCTCAAAAGATTTAAAAAACTCAATCTAAAACAATGTATTTATAAAAGCTAATAACCGATGATGACTTTCCATTTTTTTCTTGTATTAGCTTATAATTAGGAAAGTATGAACTGACTTGTCATTGTTTCCATAATCACGATTATGGAAAAGTATGAACTGACTTGTCATTGTTTCCATAATCGTGATTGCTTGGACCCCAAGACTTAGGATTCCAACAATCAACCCCGAATCTCTAAGTCCTTCTAGAGACGTCTTCGATCCTGATCAAGCTCCGCATTTCCTTGAACTTGGTTCGAGCTAGTGGTTTAGTAAGAATGTCCGCCTTTTGTTCTTCACCGGGAATGTACTCCACCTCCATTTGTTTGTTTTCAACACAATTACGAATAAAGTGAAACCTTGTGTGAATGTGTTTACTCCTTCCATGAAAACGGGATTCTTCGTTAGTTCGATAGCCGACTTGTTATCAACTCTTAGAACCACCTTCTCTTGCGCTTTGTTCATGATTTCTCCTAGCAAATCTTGAAGCCATATTGCTTGACACGCAGTCGCGGTGGCCGCCATGAACTCCGCCTCGCAAGATGATAAAGCAACAGTATCTTGCTTTTGCGAACACCATGTTATCGGGGATGACCCGTAGTAGAAAATATGACCGGTTGTGCTTTTTCCGTCATCCGGGTCAACATTGTGACTACTATCACTATAACCAATAAGCCGGTTTTGTCCCATCCTCTCGTACTTGATTCCGTATCCTGTTGTTCCTCGTAAGTACCTTAGGATGTGTTTGATTGCTCCGCCATGTGACTCTCTTGGACTTTGCATGTATCGGCTAGCAACTCCTACGGCATATGCCATATCGGGTCTTGTGTGCAAGAGATATCTAAGGCATCCTACCACCTTTCGATATTGTGTCGGGTCGATTTCGGGTTCGTCTTCGGCCTTCGACAACTTATTTCCCGGTTCCATTAGAATGTGGGTCGGATTGCAATCATTTAAACCAACTTCTTTTAGAATGCGTCAAGCATACGCTTCTTGGTTTATAGTAATCCCCGATTCTTCTTGTTTAACTTCAATGCCCAGGTAGTAAGTTAATCTTCCAAGATCCGACATCTCAAAGCTCTTGGACATCTCTAATTTGAACCTTTTGATCATGTTCAAATTTGTACCTGTGACAAATAAATCATCAACATAAATTGCCAAAATCAACAAGTTAGCTCCTTCGTTTTTCCGGTACACTGATTCTTTCATGCACTTTTGAAATTTCATGCTCTTCAAAATTCCGTCAAGCTTCGTGTTCCATGCTCGAGGTGCTTGTCTTAAGCCATAAAGTGCTTTCGTAAGGCGATACACTTTATGCTCGTTGTCTTTCTTTATATAGCCTTCCGGTTGCGATACGTAAACGGTTTCCTTCAATTCTCCATGCAAGAAAGCCGTTTTAACATCTAAGTGGTGAAGCTCCCACCCATTAGTTGCGGCTAAGGCTATAAGAAGTCGGATAGTTTCGATTCGAGCTACCGGAGCAAATACTTCTTGAAAATCAATACCGGGTTGTTGCACGTAACCTTTAGCAACCAACCTTGCCTTGTATTTATTAATGGTGCCATCTGCATTTTTCTTCAATTTGAACACCCATTTGAGTCTGATTGGCTTCACCCCCATAGGCTTGTTTACGAGGAGTCCAAGTATTATTCTTGTTTATTGAACTGATCTCCGCATTCATGGCTTTGACCCACTCCAGTTCTTTCTTCGCCTCTTCAACCGATACCGGCTCGTCATTGGTTGTTAGGAGAAGTTCATCAAGGTTATCAAGGTCAAGCTCATAATCTTGCAATCGAGTTGAAAGTTTCCTTAGTCTCGTAGGCCTTTGGTTTTGAACATTGTTCACATTATTGTTGACTGGACTTGGTTGTTCGTTATCTTGTACTTCCGCTCCGTCTTCAAACTTGTGATCCGATTCAATCGGTTCAACAATGTTTACATCGTTTCCTTGGTTGTGGTTTGCCTCTTCTTCCGAGCAATCCCATGGTACTATGAACGAGCTTGGTTCTTCATCGTTGGTTCTTGCTTCTTTATGCCAATCCCACCCTTTGGTTTCGTTAAAAATAACGTCTCGACTCACGATTACCTTTTGTGTCGTCGGGTCAAATAGCCGATAGGCCTTTGTACCCGGTTCGGAACCAAGATGTACTAGTGGTCTTGACCTTGCATCCAACTTCTTGAGGTTTACCAGTTCAACTTTTGCATATGCTTGACACCCAAATATACGAACGTTTTYTAAATTCGGTTTTCYTTTATACAACTTTTCGTATGGAGTTGTATCACCAAGGGCTYGTGTGTAAACRCGATTGATCAAGTTGGTAGAGTGTTTTACCGCTTCTCCCCATAAGTAGTTTGRAACATGCATTGCCTTCATTATGCTTCGTGTCATGTCCATAAGTGTTCGGTTTCTTCRTTCYACAATTCCGTTTTGTTGCGGTGAATATGGGGCGGTAAGGTGGCGTTTAACTCCGTTTTGATCACAAAATGTTTTAAACTCGAGAGAAGTAAACTCACCTCCTCGATCACTTCTAAAAACYTTCAAAGGCTTTCCGATTTCATTYTCYGCCAAAGCTTTGAACTTTTTGAAGTGTGTAAACGCCTCACTCTTTTCTTTCATGAGATAAATCCACATAAATCGTGAAAAGTCATCAATTAGTGTGAAAACATACCGATTTTGACCCTTGGTTGCCGGCGTGATCGGACCATATAAATCGCCGTGAACTAGTTCYAATGGTCGTTTTGCTT